TGACGTGTCCCCCCTTCTGTTGACAGAGGGTGGACTGGGTCATAGAGCATAAGAGATTTGTCCAGAGTCACGTAGCTCCCCAAGTATTGCAGGGGGTCTGCAGGCCAGAGCTTCTTCCCTTCACCTTCAAGCAGGCCCACCCAGGCTTTCCATCTTTGTAGAGAGAAATTGGCATTGGAATCAGCTAGAAAAAGGAAAGAATGAAAATGTCCTGTTGCATATCACAAGGTGTTGCAATGACAGTTGACCTCACAGATGAGATGGGTTAGTTATGCTGTTATGGTAGGAGGAGGGCTCCTCTGAGGCCGGCACCTTGTTTGGCCAGGGGTCCACCCTCTGTCACTTTCTGTGGCGCTCTCTGGCGGCTGGGGAAGGCTCACTGCATCAGGAAGTCTTTCACATGTGCCACATTAGAGGTTTGTATTAGACAAATGTTCAAGACCCTTTTTTTCTGCTCTATCCTGGAAATTTAATTACAAAGAAAGACAAAAAAGCCAATGATACAAAAAGGCAATTGATTTATCATTTTCTAATCTCTGGGTTTTTAATGTATTGACAGGCACTCCGTTCATGTTCTCTGGGTCATTTTTCTCTCAATTTTGGTCTAATGTGGCATCATTCTTTTTGTTAGACTTGCCTTTTCCTCTGCCTGCTCCTTACCAGTGTCATCCTACCCATATCTCTTCTCTTTTATTTATCAAACATCTTTTTTGTATTCAAAAACTCCTGCTCAGCTAATAAGAGCTACTTTTTATGAAGCATCATTCCCTAGTTAAGCACCCTGCCGAGTACTTTTCAGACAGGATCTCATGCAGTTCCTCCAAGCATCTTCTCAGCTGGGTGTGCTAACATCCCAACTCATATGAAAGGAAATCAAGGTATGATGAAGAAACCTGATCAATGTTACAACCCGGATTTGAACCATGTCTGACTCCACAGGCAGTGATTTAACAAATGAACAGACTCGTTGTCTTCTTCCTTGGCCAGATTACATAGCCATGCTTTGCCATTATTTTCTGGAACATCTCCTTTCAGAGAATGTAATCTTAGGAGTTTTTTGTTTGTTTTGTTGTTGTTGCTCCCAGCTTCTGCACTTTTCCTGGAAGTAGTCTGATGTTTATAATATAAGCCAAGAGTTGCATTTTCTTCTATGTATACCTATATAGTCCTAGAGTAGATAAATGGTTCCAGGTGGATCTCCTGGTAATAAAAATGATTGGTGCTGAAGCTAACATTTGCTGCTTCTTTAATTGTTGTCTTTTTAAAAATATTTATTATTTAGTTTTAGTTGGACACAATGTCTTTATTTTTATATGGTGCTGAGAATCCAACCCAGTGCCTCACACATGCTAGGTGAGCGTGCTACCACTTGAGCCACATCCCCAGCCCTTGTTGTCTGTTTTGACACAGCTAAATACTGTATAGCCAATGGTGTAGTCAAAAGTATACATGTTAATATTTTGTGCCACATTTTAAGATTAATTTCTTGCTGCCTACTCTTATACCTCCCAAAATATTTCCTTTATTTCCCCCAAGAGATGACAATGGAAATTTTATTCCTCTTTATCTTTGTGGGCAATACCTTAAGAAAATCATACCTTTTGTCTTAAGACCTTTGTGTGTTTGCACAAAACATGGAGAGAGAGAGAGAGAGAGATCGAGACAAGATTAATTTTGCCCAGATTATACTGCTAAGAAAATTCTGTGTGTGTGGTGCACACTCTGGTTTATAGACACAGAAAAGTTGGTCAAAGCTAAATATGTTGGGAGTTTAGTTCTCAAAGATGGTTGAAAACTTAGCCATGGGATGGATGTTGGGCACACACCAGAACTTCAAGTAGTGTCCCCGTGCTGCTTTTGTCTAGGTTTTAAAAGATGCCTAGTCCTTTCACTTTCATGGGCCTGACAAGATCAATGCCTTGTGTTTTCCCTTCACCCCTCTTTTTCTAATAGTAAGCAGAGTTGTTGGAAGTGAACACATTCAAGTAAAAGCCATTATAGGGTATTCTTGTCTCTTCATTCTGTATAAATTTTTTAAAATTAATATTAATTTACCTAAAGCTAAAGCTTGTCTTCAAATCTGAGCACTCCAGTTGTCTTTCACTGACCAGGTCCCCTCCTTCTTACCATCCTGTCTTCTCCGGGTGATGGCCAGAGGCTTTGTTTGACCCCAAACACTCAGCTTTCATAGGCCCATCTCTGTCTCCAGCATCCTCTGCTTCCATCTGGAGAGGATCTGACAGTGTCTGCAAGAAGTCAGCTATGGCTTTGGAGCTACAGTCACTCCTAAAAGGCCTCCTTAGTCCCACCCAGGACACACTTGTTCTTGTTAATAGTCCATTCTAAACTGACTGGTAATTCCCTCCCATTTCTGTCATCAACTTAAAAGCTGAAAATTTTGATGGGGAAATGATACGTTTCTTGGTTAACTGAAAAGTGGCATGACACACATTCCTTCTAGTTGGCTCCAGACATTTGTTTACTTTCACATTTATAATTTGCCCTGATGCACAAAGGACTTGAGGCCACTGCCATCCTTACAGAGAAACCCCTGTTACATCTTTAATGGATACGGCCTCCTTAAAGAAGCTCAGGATTGAAAAAAAAACTCCTGCAACAGAACAGGTAATTTAAGTATTCTGCTAACACTTTTTATTGCTTTATTAATGCTTGCCATGGGAGTCATTGGAAGCAGTGCAGGTGAACAGGAAGCTAACAGCAGACACCAAGAATTGTGCTGTCTCACAGATGTGTGTCTTATCTGCAGACTGCAGACACTGAGCTCCAGCTTGTTCCTCACTTCTCTCTTTAAAAGGCTCTGAACAAGAGGCGCACAGCAAACGTGTCCCTGCTGTTGATGCCTGTGACAGAGTACCATCACCAGCACTAGGGGACTGCAGTGGGCCATGCCATGGGAATAACTGTTTAACTCTCTGCAGCTTTAAAATCAGATTGATTTCATTTGGGCAAAGGCACATCAGCAGGGGTGTATTTTACTGTTTGACACACAGATGACAATCTAGCTGGAAGCTAGTATTTTGGAAGAAAATACTGAAAAGAAAATGATGGTTATGAGACAACATAGTTATAAGACACAGCGTGTATCTATATTTTTCTTCTGAGAAAAGTCAGATTTTCACCCTGGAAAAACACCCAGAAACCAAGCAGTTGCATCCCTGTGTTTTGGCATTTATATAACAGTTTTTGTATAAAAGAAAAACACAGTAAAAAGTCATTCCAACATTTCGTGCTAATTTGCCAGAGCCACGAGATGAAACAATCAGCACGTTTGCACTTTTGTATTGAATATTTGTGGAGTGTGACAGTACAAAGGGAAAAATAGGAGAAACCTGTCCTGCCATTGAGGAGGACAGGGATGTGACACAGCTTTGCTCCAAGTTGCTCCATAACCAGTGTCCAGAGAGGCACCACCAGGAGAGGAGAGAATAAAGGAGGCACTCAGGAATGTAGATAATGGCTAGGACAAGGCAGCAGGCACAAAATGGGCCATCTTTGGTGACTAAAATCCAGAATCACACAATAATTTCCAGAAAATAAAAGCAATTGCACAATTCAAGTTAATATGCATATCACACTTACTCAAGAGTCTTCATAAGCACACGATTCTATCCATCCAATAGCACTATGCAGGCAAGGCATACAGCCCCAGTTTATAAACCATTTGCAGTCAGGCCCTGTGAAATGCTGGAACAAGGACAGCTGCAACCTACTTGAGACAAATTCCCCCCTCAGTACTATCCATGCTCTCTGGAAAGCTGAGGTTCCCTAGTCCACACCTGAGAATGGGAATATCTGATCCTGAAAAGAACAAACATCATATGAGGTGCTTAATTTAGGCAGCTGAGAAGGAGAAGAAAGGCCTGCCTAGGGAGAATTTGGGCCTGGGGAGCACTGCGTAGTCCCAGAGACAAAGGGAACAGCAGCAGCTGGCTAAAGAATGAAGGAGCAAGTAGAAGCAAGCCCACCAGTGAAGGTCCCCTAGAATGTGGAGAAGGGGTTCCATGCTTCAACTGTGGGCACTTGCAGTACTAGAGACAGATTCCAAGGATTTGCCTGTCAACTGTGGAAGCTACCAACTTGGGAATAGGCACACACTTTTCTACCCCCAATCTCTATCTAACCTAGTGCTCAGCATTAATCACCTCATTTTATAAAACAAACTATAGAAACTTCTATTTGCCAGATTCTAAATTAGGAATGAGTACCTTCTCTAATATCTTTGCAGCCAAGACAAGTTCTTTTACAACTTGAGGAGCCAGGCTGAACACAGCCCCCTGGGTGCCATATATTCTATTTGGCTGAGCCATCTGTCCTTTTTTGTGTGTAGATGCACAAAGGGAAATTTTATTGGTGCAAACCTTGAGTTTTATAAATAGTTGATGGTGTGAACATTCAGATTTTCTTTTAAACTTCTTTTGAGTGTTTCTATCCTTCCTTGAGACCCATCACTCAGGTCCTTTTATATGGAAGAGGAATAACAACTCTCAGCTGTTAGAACTGTGATGAACTTATCATACACATCCTGATGATGTGGGGCAGCCCTGGGAAGAGCTCAGTCAAGGTTAGTTTCCTGCCTTATGCCTCTCCCAAAGAATGCAGAGCAAGATGTAGTCGACTTGAGTATAGTTATAGTTATTTTGCATTAAAGTATATTTCCTCTATGCATAGTGGCCTTAGGCTGCTATTCATTTTTAGTTTCAGATTTCTATTTAATAGTTTCTTCACCTCTTTAATTCTTTTCAAAATGTACTGAGCTCCTGCTATGTTATTCTTGAAGTTTTATCTATGTCACCTCATTTAATCTTCATAGCAAGGTGTCCTTTTCATTGACCTGCACATGTATAGCTTAATTCAATACATTTTGCAGCTGTGATCCATTTTTTTTTCAAATTGCAGAAGTCATGTTGCTGGATGTGGATCACTCTGTCCATGGGAAAAGATACTAATGTAATAGTGTGCCTTAAAATGGCAATTTTTAAAAAAATATGGAATGCTTCACAAATTTTTGTGTCATTCTTGTTTAGGGGCCATGCTAATCTTCTCAGTATCATTTCAGTTTTAGTATATGTGCTGAAGAGAGCAAAACAGGTTTTTTTTTTTTTTAAATCAAAGGCAATTTGAAAAGTATTTGTTTTGTCGGGAAGAGCTGCCTTTTTAGTCCACATGATTGCATAAGAAGGTATAAAGCAGAACTAACTGTAGTCCATACAAATTAGAAAATGATCCCCTCTCTGGGAAGATACTATCCTAAGGCACAAGACTTGTGCATGGTGGTGCTTTTGCACAAAATGGACCAACGAAGGCTTCTCTTTAGGTGGGTAGACACAGCCTGAAGCCACAGTGTGTGGCTCAGAGAGCTGACAACAGGATGGCTATAAGCTTCTTGTGCACTTTGTGCATTGCACAGCCTGGCCTAACTACATTATGGTTGAGGTGTGTATGTGTGTGTGTGCCCGCGCACGCATGGAGTGTTTGATGGGAGATGGAGGTGTTGATGGTGAAATGGGAGAGAATGATTGTCAGTGAGGGGGAACAGGTACAGGACAAAACAATAGATCAGCAACTGGTAAGTAATCAAAGAAATTTCATAGAATTAGAAGGGGAAAGAGAGAGCCTATAGCTGATTCTTGCTCAGGGCATGCAAGGCAGTTTGAAGCCTGTGGCCAAAAACTCAACGGAAAAAACCCAGCAAGTCATGCTGCTTTTACCACCACCACTGTCACTGTCAAGGCAATCTTTGTTAACCCTGACTCCCTTTCCTGGTGGTAATTTCTCCAACTGCGGCATTTTAATGCCAAGCTTGTTTTTAGGGAGTGAAGCTTTTTTAGGTCCCTGAGTGTCTCAGGCAGAGCACTTAGAGATGATGGAGAAATGGTGTGAAATGCTCTAGAGCCTGGACCCCCTCCCCTTGATTCACACGGGAAACCTCCAGAGCAAACAGATCCTGCATCCCTGTTCTTCAGCGTGTTGGTGGTGAACACTATCCCCTGGCCTCTGAGGAGCAGCCTGCTGTCTACTCTCATATTACTCTGCTTCCTGTAGACTGCAGATGTGCAGAGAAAGGCCAAAATGGTGCATCTGTGCAGTCATAATAATAGGAAAGCCAACTACAGAAGCAGAAGTGAATGGAGTGTGCAGAGAAGAAGATCTGTTTGTAAAAAGCCTGTTTAAAAATGGGATAATATCTCATTTTCCTTCCTTTCATACTAGAAAATATTTGATCACTTATTATTATCTTCATTAAGAATATTAGATACAGATTTGAATACCATGCTTAGTAACTTTGAAAAGTTGCAGAAGGGTAAAAGAAACCACAGTAGGTTTTTGTACATTTTTCTTACTCCAATCATTTACTGTAATTACACAAGGATTGAAATCTGCTAAAAATCTAGAAGGAGGTTAATTTACCAGTCCATGTTATATAATACTTGTTTTCCTCCACCCCCATACCCATATGGCAAATATAAATATATGAGGATGCCAGAAGTGGTGGTGAAAGTCTATAATCCCAGCAACTTGGGAGGCTTAGAGGATTTCAAGTTCAAGGCCAGCCTCAGCAAGCTAGTAAGACCCTCAGTAACTTGGCAAGATTCTATCTCAAAATAATAAATAAGAAGGGCTACAGATTGTAGCTCAGTGGTAAAGCACCCCTGTGTTCAATTACATGTGTGTGGGTGTGAATGAGATATAATGTATATCCATAGAGAAAAGGTAGAGATCAATCTACTTTAGATTGTATTTTTGAGAGCAGATGATTTCATAGTTGCAGAATAATGGAACAGTATAAATTGATCTTATGTGGAAATATAGACGAACGTGGCTTTTAAAAGGAGACTGATGAATGTGTATATGTACTTTAAAAAATATGTTTTAGATGTTGATGGACCTTTATTTTATTCATTTATTTATATGTGGTGCTGAGAATTGAACCCAGTGCCTCACACATGCTAGGCAAGCGCTGTACCACTGAGCCATAACTCCAGCCCCTTTTAAAAGTACTTTTGAAAGTTCTGGTTTAGAAATCACAGTGGGCTCATATGTATCCTGAATAATACCTGGATTGCTTTTGATGTTCATTTGAATGCTCTGATTTCATTTAAAGGGCCCTTTCAACCACAGTAATACTTGCTTCAGTAAAATGTTTTTTGTCGCCCCCAAACAGGCACGGGCAGCTGAACTAAGGTCGCTCATGTGAATTTGCAGGGACGCAAAATAAAACAAACAATTTACCTTTATACAAGCTTCAGGATGGCTTCCCCGGCTTTCAGCCTCAGGCTCCCCAAAAGGGAGAGCAAGAGAAAGGAGAGAGAGAAAGGAGAGAGAGGGGGGGGGGAGGGAGGGAGGGAGGAGAAAAAGAAGAAGGAGAAGGAGAAGGAGAAGGAGAAGGAGAAGAAGAAGGGGGGGGAGGGGAGAGAGGAGAGAGGAGAGAGGAGAGGAGGAAATAGGGAGGGAGGGAGGAAGGGGGGGGACAAAAAGTTTGGAAGTCAGCTTTTATTGGGGGGACACTGTTCTTAAGAAGTTCTACCCATAAAAGGGAAAAAGGGGTAGGACTACAAGGGAACATGTGAGTGTAACTCAACCTTAGAGTTACGCCCCTTGCTATCCCAGCGGGTCACTGCCCAAGCCACAATGAATGCAGTGGTTGGTCAGAGCCTGATGCATCAGGACTGGAAGGTCTGGTCATTTAGTGTGGCTCCCCACAGATTTTATGTTGCTTGCAAATGTAAAGGCTTATGATTTATACCCAAGGAAAAGCATATTCTGGCATTCATTTACTACATCTGTCCCAAATCTTATATACCACTTAATAGTGTCGCTAACCTAGTATGATCTGCACAGTTAATAAGTTGGAATCTCCTAACTTGGAAAGTCCACCATGATTTTTGCCTGCTGGTGACTTTTTAAAAAGTCATTAATGGCTTACTGTGAAACCTAGCTAGTAAAATTGTTGCTCTTGAGAACAGGGTCATCTGTTCAAAGTTCAATGGAGATAAAATTCTTAGCACAATATAATGTGTTTTGAATCTTTCCCTTCTATTAAATACTGAACTTACAGACAAGTTCTGCCTACTGTAATTTGTCAGAATTTTGTTTTTATTATTAACTCATAAAAGCAATTCATACCTTAAGTAATATATTTTATGTGTAATTATTTCACTTCTCTGTGTATTCAGAAGGGAGGTGTTTTGTACATTTGTTCAGGTTGTGTTACATTTTAGCAAGGAAATCTTTTCTTCATTGGACTTGGGAGACTCATAAAGATGTCAACATGTAAAGTATGGTTGAATCTGAAAGCAAAAATATGGACCCATACCCATACCCGCCTTCTCTGTGTCTCCTTGTGCTCTGTATGTAATCCTGTCATAGTTCAGAAGGTTCATAGCCTCTCTGCTGTGTAATTGCTGATTCACCAGTTGTTTCTCCCTGAATGCTCTGCCTGCTTTGAAAGTGTTGGTATGTTAAGATAACTGTGCACCTTTAGTGTGTGTATTCCTGGAGCCTACTGAAATGCTGGGTGATTAGCACATGGAGAGTAAATAAATAGAGGTGAGCACATACTGACAGAATCAGTATTTAGTACAGATGACCAGTGAGAATGGAGGTCTATTCCTGAGAAATGGAGAAAGGAAAAGTCTGGTCCAAGAAGTCCCAGTATTGTTGTTATAACATATTGCAAAAGCAATTAAATTGTTTTGCTGAGTTGCTAAACTCTCCATGTAATAATAATACCTCATTCATTGTTGTGGTCATCTTGGGTAACATGAGCCATGTCCTTGTAGTTATTTAGGGGAAATATAACTTTATTCATCTTCATTTCAAGATGGATCTAAAGTTAAAGACTTTCTGTAAGATATGTGTAAGACTGGCTGTATTTTAAAAGTTATCTAAGGAGACCATTCATACCAGCCTGCTTAGGACCCAGGCTCTCAGTGGGCCCAGTTTACCCTTCCAGCAGACTACATGGGAGGTCAAGCCTGGTGGTCCAGATCCACCCACACCAGCCTGTGCAGGTCCCAGGTGCATAGCAGCCCTGGTCTTCCTCTCCCTCAGCGGGGCAGACACCCCCCAGAGCCTAGCCTCTGGAGTGGGACCGCCCCTTCCCACCGAAAATTACTGCGGGAGGTCAAGCCCATAGGCCCATATCTACCTACTCCAACTTGCACAGGACCCAGATCCAGGATGCAATAGCATTCATTGAGGGAGACCAGCAGGGTCTGGAAGCCCAACATCAAGGTGAGGTACAGACAGTCTGCATGGGTACTACAAGAAAATAGAGAAGAAACTGTGATATCCCAGATCCACACTGCAAGAAAGGAAGACACTTGGACAACATGAAAAAATACAACAGAGCAATAGTAACAAAAACAGCAAGGTATTGACACCAAAACAGGCTGGTAGACCAATGGTACAGAATAGGGGACACAGAGACTAACCCACAAAACTAAAATTATCTTATATTAGACAAAGGTGCCAAGAACACCACTGGGGAAAGATAGCCTCTTCAACAAATGGTGCTAGGAAAACTGGAAATCCATATACAACAAAAGAGATTCAACCCCTATCTCTCAACACTCACAAAACTCAACTCAAAATGGATCAAGGACTTAGGAATATAGCCAGAGATCCAGCTTCTAATAGAAGAAAAAATAGGTCCTAATCTCTAACATGTGGGATTAGGCCTCAACTTCCTTAATAAGATTCCTATAGCACAAGAATTAAAACCAAGAATCAGTAAATGGGATGGACTCAAACTAAAAAAATTCTTCTCAGCAAAAGAAACAATCTGTGAGGTGACTAGAGAGCCTACATCTTGGGAGCAAATTTTTACCCCTCACAAATCAGAAAGAGCACTAATCTCTAGGGTATATGAAGAACTCAAAAAGCTAAGCACCAAAAAAACAAAAAACCCAATCAATAAATTGGCCAAGGACCTGCACAGACAATTCTCAGAAGAGGATATACAATCAATCAACAAATACATGAAAAAAATGTTCATCATCATTAGCAATTACAGAAATGCAAATCAAAACCACTCTAAGATTTCATCTCCAATCAGAATGGCAGAGTTGAAGACAAACAACA